AAATAACAACAATTAGACGAGTTCTTGGGATGTGATTGATTATAGGATAATATAGACAAATGGGTGATTGCAACTATTAGTAAATTGCTAGATATGGGTGATTAAGCTAGGTTATAGAGGAGAAAAACTTTTTCTTGAACAATTACCCTGAAATAAGGTTATTACTCTCGAACATCAACGGGCATGCAAAATAAGTACAACCCAAACCTTAGTACATTCACTCTCTCGAGCTGAACGTACGGGATTTGGTTTAAGGTTTACTCTCTCGAGCTGAACCCAGGACAACTCAATACCCACTGACCAACAATCAAATAGCTTAGTTCTAAAACCATAATCTTGAGAAGGTCAAGAACACAAAGTTAGAACTGAATTTGCAACTAGAATTCTTAAATTAAACAATAATTAATGATTAAACTCACTTATAAATATATTTAAACTAACAATTAGCAATACCCATAAACTAAATTAGCCCATAATCACACCCAAGAATTGCAATTTTAGCTAGACATAATAAAAAGTTTAAAGTCGTTACCAAATTGATTATCCATCAACTGATAAGAGCATATTCACCCTTACAATATTCAAATTCAAAAAATCTCAAATACCCACTTCGAATTTCTCAAAAGTTAAAAACTTTGATTTTTCAAAGCTTAGGAAAAACTAGAGAAAACTTATCTCCTAGTTTAAAACTCAAAAACTGATTAATAATATATGAGTTAAGATGCTAAACTAAATGTTCAAACATGTATTAATAGTCCTAAAAAATGTGTTGCGAAGGGTCACTCGGCAAAGTGATTCGGTTTCACTGAACCAGTCATCGAGCCTTCCTTTGGCCACTTTTATCGCCATTTTGTCTTGGCATTTAGCATCCGCATGGTTCTGTAACTTTGGGTGATCTAAAATTGCATTGCTGAACTACTCGGCATTCTGCCAATCGTTCTTTTCTTTTGCTTACTTGTTTTCTTCCCTCGGGCCTTGGCACACTGAAACTTCAGGTTGTCTTGATGAGCCATTAGGCGTCGCACCGAGTGCTGTTGGCAATCCTCAGGCTCACCCTTCTTCATCTCTTAATCTTGTTTGTTTCTTTTTGCCTATTAATGTCCTTGGTTTGTTTCTCAATCCATGTACTTGAACAAGGGTTTTATATCAATTACTAGCACACAATAATCATTTGAAAACACTACTTATATAAATGAATCCCTAATTGAATCTACATCTTGAACTCATCATCTGGGCCATAGATGAACGTGCCAACAGTGGTCTCAAAGATGTCCACAGAAAAACCTTGAACAAATGTAGCCTCAAGTGGAGCCTAAGTTGTGGGCTTGTCCCTCTTAGAGATGGACCCTATGACGGTGGATGCATAAGAAGCGTAGAATTCCCTTAGTTTCTCCCCGCTATAGGATATCGGGCTACCTATGATCCACCCACACATGTTCCTCCAAAAAAGACCGTGGATGGCTGGAGTGGCGGAGGCTACCTATGATAACTTGATGCTCATCGATGACCAGTCGATCCATCTTATTGTTCTTATTCAGCATGTAGCATCTTCGTATAACTCGAAAATGGTCGTCCACACACCATCGATTAGGCTCTTCAGCAAATAGTGCATGCTTGTTACTAGGGGAACTGGAATATTACCTGCACTATCAGACTCAGAAGACGACACAGTGATGTCATTATAACTGGACCTGGAATTTGAGCCAAATACAAATTTAGATCTAGCCGGTGATTTGTTGGTGTGGCCCTCCATTAGACTGGGGTAGTGACTACATCGGGAATCACCTCCTAGGCTTGATTCCGTGTAGTGCGTGGAGTATCGAGGAAGGTCATGGTTGAAGGTGAAACATACTCCACATTCATATCCTCATGGATCAGGCGCAAGGAAGGTTGTATGGACTTCGATTTTCCTTTTGCGGGGGTAAGTTAAAGCTTACTGGGGGCCATCGTACCTGTAGAATCTTAGTTAGTACCAACACCAGAAAATAAAATACTTGGAAGAATTTTAGAGCAAGAAACAAATCACAATGGAAAACTAAAAAACTTTTGAGCAGTTTTGAACCGCTGACCCACGGTGGTAACCTACGGTCTGTGGGTTGACATACTATTTGTAGGTCCCTTTTGTAGGTTAGAGTACTAAAAATTGGTTCTCTAATGTAGGAACCACAAATGTACATATTGGTCCGTCATCGACACTTATTTAAACTTTTGTGTGCTTCTGGCCCACGGACCCGACTATGGTCCGTAGAGTGACCTACGATATGTAGACACATACATGTCTCATGGGTTAGGCTGCACCATGTTTTAGATGGTTCACTTTTTCAATCCTTATACTTCACCAATTTTAAACAACTAAGGCCTATACATGCATTTGAACAAGTAGTTAATCATCTTTAAGGTTCCAATTTTACAAAATTTCACAATTTATCACACCGATACCCATGAACCTGAAGTCCAAGAGGTCCAATTAGGCTTATTAATTTGAATAATTCAGTTTTAAGTAACTATACACTCACAGGCCATCATACCAAGGGTGTTTCTAGCATACAATTGCACATACAAACACAAAATTAACAACTCAAGGTCAAGTTCATTGTTGTGATTTCAAATGGAAACTATGAATAACTTCAATGTTTGGAGAAATCAACATACCTTACAAGTAAACAACAATGGTGAGTGTGTGATTGCAATAAACCTCTAGATCCTTTTGTCAAGGCTTTGACACTGAACTTGGACTTGTGGAATCATTAGGGTATGGAGATGAGGAATTTGGATGAGAATTGGATGATTTTGGAATATGGGGAATTAAATGGGGACTTGATTTGTGGGATATAAGGATTAAATAGGGTGATTGTGGGAGATGAAGGGATATAAAATGGTTGGGAGGGTGTTTTGAATGTGGGGAGTGAATTTATAATGAAAGGTTTTATTTTATAATGTGTCTGGGTTGAGTCGGGCAAACCCTAGGTTTTTTGACCCATAGACCCCATCTATGGTCTATGTTCGACCTACGAACGGTAGATCACTCTGATAATTAGAATTTTTAGAAAACTTACCGAGGGTCTGTGGACGTCATTCACGATCCATTGATGGACCTACGGACTTGTGATGGGGTCTGTAGACCATTGTTCAATTTTTATTCAGCAGATTTTGCCATTCGCCCCTTTACACGTAGCAACCATAAGAAATTGATTTTTACATTTTTTGGACACTTTTAGGCACATACACTATTCTATATCTTGAAAAAACTAATACAAAAATAAAACACCTATCTAAAGAGCTACAAAAAAAAGTCAAAATAAATGAAGAGAACTCCTATAGCTAAAAGAAAAACCTTTAGTTGGCTAGACTATACATAGTGGGTCGCCTCCCAAGAAGTACTTGATTTAACGTGGAGACATGACGCAATCCCCTTTATTACTCATACTTTATCAAAATAGTAGGCCTCGACACTTCTTGCACACTCTTCAATTTCCCATGTAGACCTTGATTTTCTTCCCGTTCACATTGAACCTTGTTCCCTCCTTGTTCTTGAGATAGACCGTTCCATGTGGAAATTCTTGAGTGACTCGAAATGGACCGGTCCACTTGGACAGGAGGTTGCCAGGAAACAATCACAACCTTGAATTGAGTAGAAGCACTAGATCACCCACAACAAATTGATTCTTTTCAATCTTTTGATCATGATACTTCTTCATCTTCTCCTTGTACAATGTTGAACTTTCATATGCTTTTAGGCGAAATTCATCAAGCTCATTCTTGTTATTCACTCTTTGACTCGATGACGGCCCACATTCCAAATTTAACTTCTGTAGCGCCCACATAGCATAACACTCCAGCTCTATCGACAATTGGACTTCCCATATACCAGTTTCTATGGGGACATACCAATGAGAGTTTAATGCGGTGCGGTAGGCTTATAAAGCATAATCAAGCCTCCTTAACCATTTAGTTCGGTTGGTATTCAGTCTTTGCAAGGATTTGCTTTATCTCTTTTTTTTACACTTCAACTTTCCCACTAGACTGCGGATGGTAAGGAGTGGCTACATTGTGATACACTATATATTTATCTAGCATTGCCTTGAACTTTTTTTTACAAAAGTGGGAACCTCCATCATCGATAATGGTCCTAGGTGTACCAAATCTAGAGAATATACACTTTTCAAGAATGCAATGACACTTAAACTTTCATTCTTTGAAAGTGCAATTGCTTCCACCCATTTCAACAATAATCAACTGTAACAAGAATATAATTTATCCCATATGAATTCACAAATGGACCCATAAAGTCAAGGCATCATACATCAAACAACTCAATCACCAATTTCAGATTCATAGGTAGCTCTTGCCTCTTCAACATTCGCATTCTCTTTGGCAACAATCACACGACTTGGCAAAATCATGAGCATCTTGGTGGATGGTAGGCCATTGATACCCACAATGAAAGATTTTATAAGTAGCCCGAATACCAGTATGATTTCCACCAATAGGTGATGAATGAAACGCCTCTAGTATACTAATTATTTCAACATTGGGAACATAACAATGAATAATCCTATCAACACAAATACAAACAAGTAAGGCTCATCCAAAAAGAACTTCTTCACGTCATGCATAAACTTTTCGCATTGATGGAATGACAAATTTGATGGTCCTTTGCCAAGTAGTTAGCAAAATGTTCGAGCCAAGGAATAAGATCATGCCAAAATCTATTCATCTTGGAATGCATAATTATTTTCAGCCCCATCACCTAGATTGAGCATAACTTCCTCTTCTAATATGGACAAATGCTCGATTGTTTGATTTTCTATCCCCTTTATATCTTTCACCTCAAAATCAAACTCTTGCAGCAACAATACACATCTAATAAACCTCGAATTTGCATCATTTTTAGCCATCATATACCTCAATGCTGATGGTCAGTATGAACTATGACCTTAGTACCAAGCAACTAGGATTAAAATTTCTCAAATGTGAAAACCAAAGAAAGGAGTTCTTGTTCAATCACCGCAAAGTTCTTTTGAGCCACAGAGCTTTGGTGGCATAGTAAATAGGATGGAGAATCTTTTCTCTTTTCGATACCAATACCACACAAGCGCAACTCCATTCGCATCACATATCACTTCAAAAGGTTTCCCCCAATATGGTGAAATAGTGATAGGTGCAGAAACTAGCTTTGCTTTCAACTCTCCTAATGCTCTTAGACAAGCATCATCAAAATCAAACCTACACTCCTTTTCAAACAATTTGCACAATGGCTGTGCAATTTTGGAGATATCCTTAATAAACTAATATAAAAGCCTACATGCTAAAGAAAACTTCGAACACCTTTAAAAGATATAGGTGGTGGAAGCTTTTTCTATTACCTCAACTTTACCTCTATCAACCTTAATACCCTTCTCAAAAATCTGATGACCCAACACTATCCCTTCTTTCACTATGAAGTGGTACTTTTCGCAAGTGAGTAAAGATTACACTCTTAACACTATTTCAATACCTTGACCAAATTAGTTAGACAACCATTAAACGAGTCACCTACCATTAATAAATCACCTATATATACCTAAATAGTTTCCTCCACCATATAAGAAAATATCAATATCATGGAACATTGGAAGGTCGCAAGAGTATTACACAACCCAAATGGTATCCGTTCAAAGGCAAAATTCCCATGAGGACAACTGAAGGTGGTATTATCTTGGTCTTCGGGAGAAATAGAGATATGATTGTAGCCCGAATAACCATCAACCATCAAAATGTAACACCAACCCTTACCAACAAGTCAATCCAACATCTAAATATGAACAACATAAGGAAGTGATCCTTTGATGTTCAATAATTTAATTTCTAATAGTCCATACATACTCTCCATCCGGTCACTGGCCGCATTGGAACAAGCTCATTTGTATTAGGAACCACATTAATCCGACCTTTCTTAGGAACACAAAAAACAAGAAAGAGCTAACTACTATCTACAATGGGGGGTATATGACTCTAACATCCAACCACTTGATGATTTCATTTTTCACAACGTCTTGCATAGGAAAATTTAGTCTCCTTTGGTGCTTGACACTAGGATTGTGGTCCGGCATGAGTTGAATTTTATAAGAACAAATGCCAGGAGGAATCCTAATAATTTCCACAATAGTCCATCTGATAGACCTCTTGAACATCTTTAACAACGAAACCAATGCCTCAACTTATACCTCACTCAAATCAGCCAAAATAATAACTAGTAAAGTACCATCTCTCCCCAATAATACATACCTAAAGTGTGATTGTAGAGTGTTGAGCTCCAGTTTTGTTTCACATTCAACACAGTTTTACGGGTGGAGAGTCACGATTTTTCATATATAGATCAAATTTCTTTGGGTAGGAACAAATTTGAACCTATTAAGTGCGGTGACTAATTCATTATAGTCTTTAATACCATCACCCTCAACCTTCTTCAATAGACACATCATGAACCTCGTTCAACAATATGATTCACCACTAATACTGACATGAGATCGATTTCTTGCTTCATTAACCTACATATGTTGAAAATTACCTCTTCATTATTCAACCAGAACTTTATTTTCCCTCTCTCCATATAGACCAAGGCGCGCCAGTAGCAATGATTCTCTTCCTAGGATGATGGTAACCTCAAAACAACCACACAATCTAGTATAAAAAAATCCACCCAAAAAATAAATGACTCCAATTTCACAAGTACATCTTGGAGAACACCAATGGGTTTCTTCACATTTCTATCGTCCATAAGTAATCGCGTTGCATCTGATTTTGGATCCACTAAACTCAACTTTTTGTAGACAGATAATGGCATCAAATTTATGCGAGCACCTAAATCACACAAAGCCATCACAAAATGCAATAACCCAATGATACAAAGAATAGTGAAAGCACTAGGATCCTCTTTGTTATTCACAAGTGACCAGTAGCAATAGCACTGCAAGGTTGCAACCTCTCATCATATTCAAAACTGAATACCCTCTTATTAGCCACGAAATCTTCCATAAATTTCTTATACCCATATATTTTCTCTAAAGCTTCTATCAATGGAACATTGATGGAATGTTGGTTCAACATATTTATAAACATGAGGTATTTTCCTTCTTAATTTTCTTTCACTAACCTCTGTGGAAATGGAGGTGGAGGTCTAGACATGGGAAAACTTTTCGGGTTATCTCCAATGCTTTCTCTGAAGCGTACTTGGACTATCCAGTAACTTTAACCTCATCATCATTTTTTTCTACCATAATTTCAACCTCAGACGACATGTGGGGTTCAATGGTCTGTTTACCTCCTTGAGTTGTGATGTCCATATATTGACCATCATTCTTCAGATTCTATGTGGTGTTTCTATGAAGTGCTCCATGCTGATGTGGGTTCACAATATTTGACAATTCATTAAACTACCACACAAGTTGCTTTATCGACACTGCATGGGCATCAACCTTTTGTACTATTCAAGAAAAGTCATACTGCATCTCTTTCACTTTCTCATCAGTCGAATCATACCTCTTAATCAATTTATGCATCATCTACTCAATCACATACTATGTGCAACTTCCCTATTACCAGATTTCCAATTTGCTAGTGGAACATAAGGCCCAACTCTCTCACTTCTGTTGCCATAGTTGTTGTGATTGTAGTTGTTGTCGTGATTGTAGTTCCCATTCTAGAGATAGTTCCTCTCAATTTCAGTTGCCATTGTTCGTACGTTGATTTACTTGCCTTTGGCACTAATTTATCTGAGTTGGAACCTTGTGTGTTCGCTCAAAAACCCCCATTTTATCATTTACCAAATAAGCATCCTCATCATAGTAGCACTTCTAAACTGGTGGTGGTAATTCAGCACATTCACCTTTTATGTGCCTCGTCTAACATGCTTCAACACCAAACCAAGTTCTAGCCTCATCTGAGCCATATCCTAACTAATATAATCGGTAGATTGACTAGGCGCAACTTGAACTGCAAATGTGCTTCTTATGGTGTCTTAACTTTTTACTGCTCCATACTTTATTATTTTGGGAAATATTCTCTAATTTTTTACCGATCTCCTCAAAAGTGAATTCACCATATGATCCTCCATGATAGTATCAAGCATTTTCTTACGATTGTCATCCTGTCCTTAACCAAAATACTCTTTGAGTGACTCATAATCAATGCGGTGATTCAAAACACTTCTTATGAATGCAATGAACTTGTACCAGAACTACTCACAGATTCTCCAGGTAGTTCCATGAAGTTGTTAAGTTTGTCTTTGTGTTTCAACTTCTTAGACAACGGGAAGTACATTTACATGAACACCGTATGCAATTGTTCCAATGTATGAATTGAGTTATATGCAAGCTTAGAAAATCACACTGCAACATCACTTGTCAATGATAAAGGTAAGACTCTCAAGCATATGATGTTCATATCCAACTCTGGTCTCCCTATACAACTCTTGCAGACACTCCTCAACTTGGCATGTACACATGTGGATCTTCCAAAGCCATACCAGGAAACAACGTAAGCATCTGCATCAAGCTACTAGTAACCACAATTTCATTCCTTGGAGGTAGAGGAGGGATAACAATAGGTCCTTCAGATTCAATGGTATTGAAGTCAACCCTGTAATTCTCACGCAGTCTTGGTTCTGGTGGATCCTCCACTCTCAATACATCTCTAAGTAAATTAACACTAAGAACCTGAGCATTCTCATTAACAACACCTTCCACATGCATCTTTATGATTTGATTATTTTGGACCCATTGATTATTAATCTTTCTGGAAGTCTTGATCAACTCTAGATAGTAGGGGGTCAATGGTTCACCTTGACTCCGTGTGCTTGGCATACATTCGGTAGAAACCTGAGGAAAACAAAAATGAAAGAAAATGTAAAATTAGGAAATAATTGACTAAATTTCAATAATATAGTTAAACTTAATCTAAAAGCCTTATTCCTCCGCAGCAACACCAAAATTTGGTACACTCAAATTACACCTCCCTAGAGAAGTATAAGTGACTGCTTTCAAATAAAATCAAACTTGTAGGTTGGGGTCTATTCCACGACAAATACGGTTTAGGCTTAAACTTAACTTGCTATTATATTTGTTTAGTCAACTTATTTCAGAGACAAGTAAATAAAAAAGGGGTGGGGGGTGGGTGGGGGGGTTTGTGTATGCAAATAACTGATTGTTGTTTAAGTAACAAGTGAGCAAGACTCAAACCTTGAAATATCTATAAGAGAGAGAAACTAGGTGTATGTGTTCTCCATAAGCTCTTAGCACGGTAATCCTAATGATAACAATCCTTTCTTATTGTATTACACGCAAAGTTGTTGAATATGTATCCATCCCTAAGTCATTGATTCTCCAAATAGGGAATTTCACTCCACACCATGGTCCGACTACGTGTATATACTTTACTAACCCTTACCTTTACCTCAGATGAGATATTACATTAATGTATGACTTAGTTTTTACCTTAACACCAATTGACATTAAACTATTATATAGTATCACACTAAATCTCTGTTGATAGTTCTTTTCTTATAACTACCTCTTTGGTACGAAAAGTATCAACAAGGCGAGTTTTAACGTGTGCACTCGTTAAAAAGACTTCTAAATGAAAGAATTACCAATGCATGCATAAACACTATTACAAAATTACTCATGGTTTAAAGATCATAATTCATGTTTTAATAATAAGATTTCATGAACTTACCTTTAGAGTAGAATAAAAGCAAAATCTCGATCTGAATTTCAAAGCAAAAATCTTATAAATTGATATCTGGAAATGAAATTTCCGAAGTTAGCAAGTTAATTCCCAATAAAATACCGAGAAATAAAAGTAAACAATAATGTATAGCCCCAAAAATAATGTTTACATATCCTATTTATAGAAAAAACATGTCCTAAACAAAATATGATAATAAACTTCTGGGACACAACTTTTATCAACAACTTGACTTACAGAGCATGGGTTGACCTATGGTCCATTGGTCAAAACTTAGAAATTTTACATAGAGGCTAGAAACTCCAACTCCAGTTCATCAATGAAGGATGTGCAGAACTGATCGTAGGTTGACCTACAGTTCATGGTTCCTCTCCATGGCTCCACAGTTGGGGATTTTCATTAGGTACTAACCTTTTACAGATGTGCCATCAGGAAAATAGGTCAACCTACGGTCCATCGATAGCTTGTGAGTTCCACACTTGATTACACTTCCTTGATGTTCCTATCTACGCCTATCCATCGACGTACCATCATAGGACCTTCTATCCATAGGTCTCTCCGTGGGTAGCCACTATTGCAGAATTTCAGTTGTCTTCTCACTCAAGTGCGCCAAAACCTATTTCATACAAACATAACACAAAAATAATATTTATAATACCAATTGACCCTAGACACACACAACTCTTAAGTGAAATATATCAAAAGTATAGTAAAATCTCGGTATATCACCTCTCTCAATGTCCCTTGTCATTATTTTATCCTTACCCTCTTTGTTCGACAATCGGGATATTCAAACACAAATATGCTCATCCTACTCCTCATATTAGCAACCATCTCTAGAGAATAACATAAAAGATGGGTGTACTTGAGGTTTTGCTCATTCACACTTATGGATTCATGTTTAAGAGTGAAAATTTTTCTTACATTTGCCTATCTTAGATCGCGGGGAAAGAAACACCCCATGAAGGCACTTTCAGACACAGACCATCTCACAATTGGTGCCTTATAAGACCTAATCTTATTCTATTGGTTGTACCGAATCCTAGCAACACTATTGAATCGGTATGCAACTCACTCTACGTGCTCAGCATCAAGAATATGCATCACTTCAAAATTTTTTTGTAGCTCCTCCAAAAAGTTATCTGGATCCTTTGTGACGTTTGAGCTTGTGAATTTCGGAGGATTCATCCTCAAAAACTCACGGAACCTGGATGTATCAGTAACATCCTGAAGAATCACTCTTGTTGACTAGTTTTATTGACAATAACATGATTTGATATCCGCATAGCATTCCAGAACTCAACATTTCTGTCTTCTCCTTCAGGATGTTGCACTTCTAGTGAATTGGTAACCTTTTGATCTTGGGTATCAAATTTTTTTTATAGAAGGATGACCTCGAACACCTCTTGATGGAGGCATGATCTCAAAAATATATGCGCAGGCACAAACTAGATTTTTTTTTATAGATTTGAACACTATCAAATGAAAAAGAGTAAGAAGGAAGAGAAATGTTTCCTAAATGTTGTAGCCTCCCAATTATCGATGTGGAGTTCTTCATACCAATAAAAAGGAATCTACAGACAATGCTTCATAGGCACCCTAAGACTTTAAAAATCTGTGCTCTGATTCCAAGTTTGTTATGCCCTAAGTCTTGTCACAACCCAGGGGTACCCTCTAAATGTAAAATGGCATACAAGACCTTGAGATGCCTCATAAAATCCACTTAGATTTCATCTTCAAGATTATAGACATCAATAGATTAAAACATTATTTCAACATAACCAAAATTTTTAGAACAAAACAAAAGTCTAAGCTCAAGTCTTAAAAACAATCTAATACAAAAGAATCTCGGGGCATAGCTCATACGTTAATGTTCAAAAAACTTAAAATAAAAAGGAAATAAGGGAAGTGACGATCAAATCCTTGGATGAATAAGGACTCACCAATCATCAACTTTTCTTCTACTATAGATCCTAGCCACAGAGTTGAGAATCGAGAACGGTGAACCCTATATCTACAGATTAAATGTAAGCAAGAGTATGTGTTAGTATAAAATTATACTAAATATGATAACATGCATAAACATAACATAACATAAAACTTAGACAATATAAGTCATGAGGCATAATAAATGGACCTAATAAATCATCGTAACATGTAAGGAGTGCTTCTTGAAGTAACCTTGAGTCATCCTTAGTCAAGACATGATTAACCTATTCTAGTATTACTCATAGTTGAAGGAAAACTCAAGCAACAATCCAAGATCAATACCTACCATAATATATCATAACTTATCTTTTAAGGACATGGGAAATCGTCTCTTGCTTTCGTATAAAGGGTCATGGGTAATCCCTTCTTGTCCTTTCAACTTAGGATCATGGGTAATCGACTCTAGTCCAACTTGCGTTATAGGAGGTCATGGGTAATCGTCTCTAGACACATCATTTTCATAATTCCTTGTCTTACATTCACTTTAGGTGAGAAATCCTTTATAACTAGAATCATTCAATATGAGAAAACCTTTCACCTTCATACATAAGAAATCATGTGGGAAAATCACTTGTACGCTTCCCTCTCAAAGCAATTCTTATCATAAATCATCACATATGATTCAATCTCAAAGTAATTTGTATGGTATCTTATTCATCTTATAAGAGTAGACATAAATCTATATATTCTCTTTGCATAGAGTAAAACCCATTTTAAATCAATTTCATCTTAGAAACAAGGGTTAACAATAGGTACAACATGGAATTTCATAATAAAACATAAAATACTCTCAATTCATGCATAATCAAACATAATTCAATCAATTAAATCAAAATTCATAATAAACCATAACTAGGAAAAAAACCCTAACTTAATTTAGGGAATATCTACTTTTAAATGTTGAGTACTGTGGGGCTCTATGGATTAAAGGATTCCATAGATGAAAAGCTACCATACCTTGCAATAAAATCCCAAAAGTGATTGATGGATGGAGGCTTAAACTTGAACCCTAGCTGGAATCTTCTTGTCTAAACTTCTAGAGAGAGATATCCTTGGGAGAGAAAGACAAATTCTTTTGGTGAATTTTGTAATAATGAAGTGAATGAATTAATTTGGGGTTAAAATAACTTGTATAGGGGTCCTATTCATAGGCAAAATGACATAGTATTATTTTAAAGAATTATAGAAAATACCTAAAAGCCCTTGAACTTACAGATGACGTAGTCTCCACACGGAAAGCTCCACAAGCTGTATAAGGGTCCACGGGTCGTCTGATGTTTTGTGGACCTTAGATTAGTGGCCTGTCCTATCCCCCTCATTACCCACTGCACGATCCGTCACAACTCTTACGAGTCGTCTAGTGGCTTGTGTAGAGGGTCATCCTAAGAGGGGATACTGCCTCCCTCTTCATGGGCATCATTACGCGTCATGGTGCTGACCACGAGATGTCTAAGTGCTCGTGAGATGGGATCCTTCCTTGTCTCTACAATGTGAGACTTCACGAGCTTGAACACACCTCATGGTGCCTTTCACGGCTTGTATAGGCCTTCATAAAGGGTGCCGAGGTTCATTATTTGGCTTGTGAT